TCCCTGAAGTCAGTGTCAATTAGAGTTTGCTGGAATGTGGACCCACTGGTTGGAATTGGGGTGGTGGCACCTACAGGTAAGCTGACAATAGTCACCTGGAGTTTACCTGTTTTATTAGTCTGGGTTCTCCAGAGGAACAGGACCACTGGAACGTGTGTGTGTGTGTGTGTGTGTGTGTGTGTGTGTGTGTGTAAAGATTTATTTTAAGGGACCAGTTCACACGATTATGGAAGTCGGCAAGTCCTAAGATCTGCAGGATGAATCAGAAGCAGGAGACCCAGGAAAAGCCACTGTTTCATTTGCAGGAAAAAAAAAAAAAAAGCTGATGCCCAGTTCAGAGGCTGGCAGGCAGGAAGACTACCCTCTAACTCAGGTTGAGGGTCAGCCTTTTGTACTATTCTGGCCTTCAACTGATTGGGTGAAGCCCACCATATAGGGAGGGCAGTCTACTCATTTAAGTGTTAACCTCACCCAAAAACACCCTTAGAGAAATACCCAGAATAATGTTTGGCCAAATACCTGGGCAACCCATGACCCAGTCAACTTTACACACAAAAAAATCAACCTTCACGCCAATGATCTGTGCATTCTAAAGGAACCACAGGTGAATAAATGAGGCTAAATTGCAAAACCTTAGAAATTGGAGCAGCATCACCCCTGATTCAGGCTTTCCTGGTGGCTCAGACATTGAAGAATTTGCCTGCAATGCGGGAGACCCAGGTTCAATCCCTGGGTTGGTTCAGTCCCCGGACAGAGGAGCCTGGCAGGCTGCAGTCCATGGAGTTTCAGAGTCAGACACAGCCGAGTGACTAACATACACCTGATTCAAGGCCCAAGCCCATCCTTACGTTGTTGAGGTCATCAGGCATGAGGAGCATTGAAAGAAAACTTCTTTCTTTGGACACAAGGTCATTGAGCTGAGCTCTGAAAGATGCTCAGAGAGGAGCACGTGTCCCTCAGAGTGGAGGCCTGGAGACAGTCCCGGGTCCACCTTTGCTCTGGGTGGGGCTGATCCAGCAGCATCTCAGAGGTAGGACGGGCCTGGCCTCTTCCAGCAAAAGCTGCTGATTTGCTTAAGTATCTGCCATGGCCTTGCCTCACTGCTTCCTCCTGGGTGCCAGCACTTCGCAGACACAGTTACTCTTCCTCCTCATAATGACCCTGTCATGTAGGAAGTGGTCTCCTATGAAGAAACCGAATCTCAGAGAGATGGAGGAAACTGCCAAGATCACACAGTAAACGGTGGAGCTGGGGTTCTAGCTAAGACTCTTCTGACCCAGAATCCAGGCCAGTGGCTGGCCGAATGTGCCCTGGCCAGCCTGCATGCCCGGGGCCACCGGCAACGTGGGCTTCTGCAGGGGCTGTCATCCCAACCAAAGACGGAGGGCAAGCACTAGGGGCTGGATTCTTCCCTCAGACTCATGTTGAAGTCCTCGTCCCCGTACCTTGGAATTTGACCTTGTTTAGAGATAAGGGTCTTCATAGAGTTGGTTGTTGGTCAGTCACTCAGTCGTGTGACTCTTTGCCACCCCCATGGACTGCAGCACGCCAGGCCTCCCTGTCCATCACCAAATCCCGGAGCTTGCTCAAACTCATGTCCATCGAGCCAGTGATCCCAACCAACCATCTCACCCTCTGTCGCCTGCTTCGCCTCCTGCCCTCAGTCTTTCCGGGCGTCAGGGCCTTTGCCAATGAGTCGGCTCTTCGCACTGGGTGGCCAAACATCAGCATCAGTCTTTTCCAATGAATATTCAGGGTTGATTTCCTTTAGGATTGGCTGGTTTTATAGGATAATCAAGTTAAAAGGAGGTCATTACGGTGCTCCCTAATCCAGTATCACGAGAGTTCTTTTAAGAAGAAGGAATTTGGACACAGACAGGCACAGAGGGAAGATGGTATGGAGACCCAAAGGGAAGACAGCCGCCTGCAAGACACGGAGAGAGGCCCGGGAGAGATCCATCCCTCACGGCCCTCACCAAGTCCTCGATCTTGGACTTTCAGCTTCCACAGCTATGAGAAAACTAACTTCCGTCCTTTAAGCCCTCACGGCCCTCTGTGTCACGCTATGTCACCACTGCTTGGCAGCCCAAACCATATAACCAAGTGAGATTCCCAGACGTGAGAGAAGACAGAACAAAGGCTTCCTGGCTGGGTGGATAGACTCAGGGCCCTCAGGGGGAGGACAGTTTGAACAGAAATGTCACCCAGCCAGGACAGAAATGAGGACAGCAAGTCTTTGGAGGAACTAACCCTGGCTCTGAAACCCAGATTGGGAAATATTCACCGTCACCATTGGCTTCGGCAGTCTTGTTCGGCTGGTTCTTTCCAAAGAGCTGTGTGGGCCTGTCACCTGGTCAGCTGCTTTCAGCCTTTCCCAATGGAGAGTAACCAGGAGTGGGCGGCAGTGTGGACGGTCCCTCCTGTCACCCTCCCTGACGAGCGGTGACAGCCATCCTGATACCCCAGTGCTGGGCTTGGCACAGTAGAAGAAGCACTGGATGCGGAGTCTGAAAAGTTGGGTTCTAGTTCAAAGTAGATCTCAAAAGTTTTGTCATCTATAGATGAGATAAGTCCCTGTTCCTCTTCAGAGAGGTTTTCTCTCAAATAAGATCATTTATTATTATTGTGTCCCACTCACTCTCCAAAAGTATTGTGGGGATCTTGTAGTAAAGACTGTTACATGGAACCATCTAAACAAGCATAGAATCAGGGAGGTTAGTGAACAGAGGGAGGAGATGGTTGTACAGCTGTACAACATGGAGCCTGAAACCTAGCTCTGAGCATCCTGGCAGCCAAGGAGAAAAGTGAAATACCTTCAAAAGTAGGGGGGGAAACCCTGTGAAGTATAAGATATTGCTGTTTCACTTATTGTACTCATTTAAAGTAAAACATTATGTTGTACTAAAAATGACTATTTTATTTCAATGTGCAGATTCCAAACATGAAGAATAGAATCTATCCAGGTTCTGAACTCAAATTGCCTACATTTTTAGACATTTTAAGCTTTCTAGACTTGTTTAGTTTTTTATTTTGTATTATATTGCTCACATCATGTGGCATGTGGGATCTTACTTCCCCAACCACAGATCGAACCCATACCCCTTGCATTGGGACCGCCAGGGAAGTCCCCAGGCCTGTTTAGAATGGATTAATTTATCCCTGTAATCACTTCCCAGTCACAATCTCATGTTCTGGACAAAGTCAATAAACTTTTTTCTTGTCTTTTTAGAAGAAGTGCATCTAGGATTTTTTCTAATTGGGAAGCAATACCTGATCCTGGTAGAAAATGTATAAAATACTGAAAAATATAAATGAGAATGAAACTATTCATAGTCCTCCATGCCCTGTCCCTTCCAGATAACTGCCGTCAACATTTCAGTTGACTCCATTCCAGTATTTCCTCTATGTCTTTTGAATCTCCTAGTGCTTCTTGAACCTAGGTTTTGGTTTGCCTCAGCCTTGGGAGTTTTTGCTCTGAGTAAAGACTGTGTAGGCACATCTAGAATTACCAGTCTGTCAGCATCTCCTGGACTTTGAGTTCACTTCCTTTAAAAACAAGCTAAGCAGCCTCTCCTGGGCCACCTTCCCCTCATCCTACCTGGAGAGCCTCGGGGTAGCACATGTGATGCTGGCACTGGGTACCAAATTCTACCAATTCCTGCTCCAAAACGCGCTCTGTTCTACAAATTGTAGGAGAGCCCAGCCTGGTGAGAAACCTGGTTCCAAAACACTGTCACTTCTTCACCTGACATTCCTATCTTTTCAGTGAAAATTTCTCTGGAAGCCTAGTGGACTTGGCGAAGGGGCTCCTCATAACCACTCCACTTTTTCCCCAAAAAATCCTATTGTATACTCTATGGAAAACAGTACGGAGGTTCCTTAAAACCTGAAAGTAGCGTTACCATACAATCCAGCAATCCGACTCCTGGGCACACATCCAGAAAAGATGAAAGCTTTAATTCGAAAAGATACATGCACCCCAATAGCAGCACTATTTACAATAGCCAAAACATGGAAGCAAGCTAAATGTCCACCAACAGATGAACGGATAAAGAAGATGTGGTACATATATACAATGGAATGTTACTTAGCCATAGAAAGGAATGAAATAATGCCATTTGCAGCAACTTGGATGGACTTGAAGATTAGCATACTGAGAAGGCTGACAGAGAAAGACAAATATCATATGTGGAATCTAGTAAAAAATTATCCAGTGGAACTTGTTTACAAAACAGAAACAGACACAGACATAAGAAAACAAAGGTACAGTTACAAAACAAGAAAGCAGGGGAAGAGGGTAAATTAGGAAAATGGGATTAACAGAGAGACACTACTATGTAAAAAATATTAATGGATAAACAATAAGGAACGTCTGTATAGCTCAGGAAACTATATTCAACATCTTGCAATAACCTATAATAGAAAAGAAGTCTTAAAAAAGCCTATTGGCACTTGGGTTTTCTTGCCATTTCTTGCTTCACTGTTTGAAATTCCATCAACGGCAGATTCACACAAATGAACACATGTCATTCAGAAATCTCCCAGGATAAATCTGATCAGTCGATCTTTGTGAGAACTGTTTCTACCTGTGATTTCCCCTCTTACAAATGATGCTAACTGCTCCAGTGGGCGGCGGGGTGAGGGTAGGCTTTTTGGGAGAAGAAGTCATGGAGAAGAGAAGGGCAGCCCGCTAAAGTATTCTTGCCTGGAGAATCCCATGGACAGAGGAGCCTGGCGGGCTACAGTCCATGAATTGCCAAGAGTTGGATAGAACTGAGCAACTAACACACACAGAAGGAGTCATCTTAGATCTGAGGGGAGGCAAGAGAACCCCCGCTCCGTGGCTCTTCGAGGAAGTCGTATGGCCCCCAGGGTGCTCAGTTCCAGGACAGTCATCGCCCTGCCTGCACACCATCCTCACTTTGCAGCAGGAACACACCCTCTCTGGCTGTCCTCCACCTCGGGGCCCCTGCCCCTCAGATGCCCTTGCTGCCCCACAGCTACTGCCTTCCCAAGGCCCCGGGGCTCAAGGCATCACTTCCTCTGTCTGCCTTCACCCCGTCCCTCGGTGACCTTGACCCACCTTCTCCACGCGCTGCTGTATGATGACGTTCACATGTACGTCTTCTGCACAGACTTCTGCAAACAGCAGATGCTACCGTGTCGACCCCCCGGTTGGTAATGGATTACAATCTGAACTCAACATGTGCCAAGCCCAAGTACTCATCACTCATCGCTCCGCCCTGTGAAAAATGAGGTTATGTGTCATGAAGTGGGGCTTTATAAATGTTGCTCTAGTTTTAGTTTCGCAGGGCTGGGAAGGATCTGGGGGAGAAAAAATCTGTCAAGTCTGTACGGAGCTCTAAAACTACAAAGGGCTGTGTGTTCAAAGATCAGCTCAGCGGCTCACCAGCGACACGGCTTTGCGCGGGTGCCTTGCACTGTATGGCCCTGCTGGCCTCTCGTGGTTGTTGGCAGGACCCTTTGATGTGCATACAGAGCCTGGTGCCTGGTGGGCTGTTAGGGAATGTCCCTTTCTGCACTGCCTTGAGGACAGAACTTGAGAGACATCCTTGGCAACCCATGGACCAACCCTCTGTCCCCACTGGAGCCCAACAAACTCTTCTCTGTTGCTTTCGTCTGCCCTGACCTTGAGGGTTCAGCATCACTACACTTGAAGCAGCCTTGGCCTGGGGTGCCCTGGTCCCACTAGAGCCCTCTTATGGGCCAGGGCTTTGAAATGGGGCTGCTGGTGAGCTGTGGGCTTCTCTGGGGCACAGCCCACTATCGCCCACCCACCCCCCACAGGCAGAGGCAGCCTCACATGGTGCCCTGTGCTTCCTACTTAGCCTGTGTTCATTCAGAGCTCCTATCACCGTTTGTAAACATTGGTCTTTTCAAGTTACATCTTATGATTTGGTAGAGGGTTCACAGAGCACGAAAAGACGTGGAAGAAACTTAAGTGCATGTTGATAAATGAAAGGAGTCAACCTGCAAAGGCTACAAACCATGTGATTCCAGCTAACCACATGGCCAACGGAACATGCAGGGCAAGTGTGACTGCTCACCATGTGATCTGCCAGTATTATGGAAAAGGCAAAACTGGAGACAGTGAAAAGATCAGGGGTTGCCAGGGGTTATATCAGAGGAAAGGCGACTAGGTGGAGCCCAGAGGATTATCAGGGGACAGTGAAAATAGTCTGAAAGCTACCATCAGGGTGGGTTCAGGTCATCATACATTTGTCAGAATCCAAGAGTGAACCCTAATATGTGTGATGGACTTGGGGTGATCATGACTTGTCACTGTTGCTTCACAGTGTGACAATGTCCCACTCTGGTGCAGGATCTCCACCTGGGGGGCAGGAGCTGTCCTTGTAGGGGCGTGGGGAGGAAGTACATGAGAGCTGCCTGTGCTGTCCGCTCAGTTATACGGGGAACCCAATGCTACTAAAAAGCAAAGTCTGTTATTTCTTCTAGTTCCCATAGTTGGCCAGGTGAAACATATAAGAAAAAAGAGGTACAGTTAAAGTCTGACTTCTATTCTGGTCCCTCTGGTCTTTCCTACTCCCTAAAGAAAACCAATCTTAAATGTATTGAATGATCCCATTCATTTCTTCAGTACAAGACACACACATCCCCACCCCTTGTCTGCTTCCTTAGGTAGCAGCCTGCCCTGCCTACCTCCCACTCTCTCTGGGGATGTCTCTGTAGTTCTTGAACAGGTACCTTTGTATCTGGAGACTTGTTTTTGTTACTAGTGAAGCACAGGCGTTTTCCCAACTATCGAAATACTGCCCTGTTTATCTCTCAGAGCAATAAAAGTGAATAGCGCATTTTCAAATAAGCGGGCGTCCACGTAGGCACGTTTTGCTCTCTCTGTGGCTTTCAGTCTCACCTCTCTCGCCTGGTGGGGCTGAGATGCTGGCTATGGAATGGACCAGCCCTGGGCCTCTGCCCCTGCCCCTGTCCTTCCAGGCACTGATGAGCCCTGAGTCACCGGCTGCTTGTCCAGCCCCGTCTAAAGCCCCTGCACGCCTCCTAACCCCGCGGATAACAGGAGCAAAGTCCCCTTGTAAAGAAAGTCTGTATTCTGCTGATTTCTATGAATTGCCCTCCGGCCTCTCGAGGAAGCTCTCTGTTGCTGATCTGGGGTGAGCAGCCCTGGTCCCCCCAGGCAGGCTCACACCTGTTCCGGAGTGAGGCCCCTGTGTGCAAAGAGCAGGTGGTCCCCTCCCTGTCCCCACACCCACCACGCCACACACGGGGGTCTCTTTAATCGTGCAAATTCAGCTTCACCCAGGCTTTGCTGAGGGTGGGCAGGCTGCTACCCATGGCTCTGGTAAAGGCAGGTTGATCCTGGACTTCATACCTTTAAAAGGACACTTTGATCGGCTCTGGAGTCATCTTTTCCGGGCTTAGTGGCATGTGTGTTTTGATGTGGGCTTTTGATCATAGAAACTTGGACTCAGAGGAGTCTTTGACAGTCATCTGCCCAGTGGTTCTCAGATGGGTTTGGTCCCCAGGGCACATCTGGCAATATTTGGAGCCTTTTTTCAGTTGTCACAATCGGGGGTTGGGGCTGCTTCTGAAATCTCGCAAGCAGAGCCCAGGGATGCTGCTGAGGGTCCGCGCTGCACAGGGCAGACCCCACGACAGGGAAATTCCCCACCCAGCCATCAGTGGTGCCGAAGTTGAGAGGCCTTGATTCAATTCCTTTTTGGTCTCAGTGTGGTCTGCACACTGGAGCCTCGATGAGCACGTGGAGCTTGTGGCATGGAGGGTCTTGGTCCCCCACCCGAACCCCTGAGTCAGAATCTACATTCCAACAAGTTTCATCTGTCCAGTGAGGCCTGGGAATTGCTGCTCAAGCAATCCCCAGTCTCCCACCCAAAGTAGCAAAAGTCAAACCTCCCACCAAAACGCAGTGCTCAGCTGAAGCTGTCTCAATAGCCAGCTCTTTTAATATCTTCAAGACTTTTATTTTAAGGAATGACTTAGCCTAATGAAATTCTTTGTATGCACCATATGCTGTGTGGAGATGGGTACCACCATCATTTCAATTTTCCCTCTCAAGATAGGAAGATTCCACAAACCTTTCAGGAGCATGTTCCAGGGTTTTGAAGCTCCTCCATTAAGGCTCTTGGTCGGAGCATCTCCTGGTCGATTACAGAGGGCACAGCTTTGAAACCCTCCACCCAGCCAGCCCCAGTTGTTGCCTGAGTATCAGAGTAACCTGCCTGGAAAGCAAGCTTCACCAGAGCAGAGATGGGGGCTCCTTCTCATTGTGTTTCCTGGTGCTGAACGCAGTGCCCGGCGGGCAGCTAGTAAATGCTCCATGTGTTGGATGAATGGAATTGAGAGACAGTGGGGGTGAGAGTCGGGGGAAGGAGGGAGAGAGGGAGGGAGGGAGGCTCCCTCTGCAAGACACTGAGGACGCTGACGTGGACTTCCAAAACAAAGCTCCCGCAAGTGCAGCCTCACTGCGGTCACCCCCACCGCTCACAGGCGCTGGGAAAGCGGTGAGCTCGCAGGACCGGTCAGCTCCCCCCAGTCCCCTCTCAGGCCTGAGGATTGCTTCAGAATGTTCTTCTATCCAGAAGTCATCAGCTTGAGCCTGCACTTTCTCCCTCTGTATCTACAGCAGCACACCACTTCCAGAATGCGCATCTCTGTGGACTGGCCAGGAGCGCTAGGCAAGAATGTGAACCTGACCCTGAGCGGTCTGCCCGTTCCCGGTTCCCCTCCCCTGAACACTCAGCAGCAGAAACCCGAGGGCTGGCCTTCCATCGCAGTAAGGGAGCTGTCGCCACGATGATGCCTGTTACCGTGCTGATAAAGCGTCTGCCCGAGTGCTCTGTGCTTATCTCACTACTCTTCTCCGCTTCATCCCGAGCCGCCCCACAGGAGGAGGTTCAAAGGTACAGTGATTTACTGGCAGAGGCAAAGGCAGGACTGAAACCCCAAACGCCCCCAGCCAGTGCCCCCTGAGCCGTGCAAACAGCAGTAGTTCACAGGCTGCTCAAGAGATGATAAGGTGGGAAAAGACAGCCCTTTCCTCTTAATACTGACTTTATCAAGTTGAACTAATTTATGTATGTTTCACATCGTTCCAGAAGTAATTTCAAGTGGCAGGTGGAAGGTGGGTAGAAAGAAGATAACCAAGCCAGGAACATAAAATAGAGGCAAGAATGGGGCTGAGACGAAATTATATATAAAGACCTGGACAGCTTCCCTGGTGGCTCTGATGGTAAAGATTCCACCTGCCAATGCAAGAGATCCAGGTTTGATTCCTGGGTCGGGAATGCTCCCTGGAGAAGGGAATAACTACCCACTCCAGTATTCTTGCCTAGAGAATTCCATGGACAGAGGAGCCTGGTAGACTGCAGTCCCTGGGGTCACCAAGAGTTGGACACAAGTGAATAACACACACCAAGACCTAGACATTGGCCCACAGGAAAGCACACCCTTGGCATTTTAGTTGCCACTGGAAAAAGAAACTCAGGTTGATAGATGGCAGAAACCAACACAACATTGTAAAGCAATTATCCTCCAATTAAGCATAAATAAGAAAAGAAAAAAAGAAACTCAGTTTTCAATAAGTGAGTAAAGCAATTGCCGAAGGAAAACAGAAGCACTCCTGAACCGAGATAGGACCTGAACTTCTCCTTAGTGTCCCTAAAGAAGGGCCAGCTCGGCAACGAGCTTCCAGTAGACCTTGTATATCAAAAATCAAAGGCAGTTGGGAGAGCAGCCCAACAGGAGGGGTTCTGTGAGGGGTGCACCGCACGGTCCCACACACACCCCTGCAGGCCTGCTTCCTTCCGGAGCGGACCTGAGTCACCAAAGTCCACCTCCGCTCACGACCACCACCTGCACCCAGCGTCCTGCTCTCAGCCTGTGACCCAAGGCTGTAAGTCTCCTAACTTCTGAGAACGGCCCTTCCTTAGGCTCTCTGCCTTCCCAAGCGCTCTAGCAACCCTCCTTCCTCATCCATCCCCACCAGAAACAAAAGCATGGCCGGCATCCCTCCAAAAGGAGACCCTATGCCCTTAATAGTCACTCCCCACCCCCTCCTCCCTGCTCCTGGCGGCTGTCAATCACCTTTCTATCTCTATGGATCTGACTGTTCTGAGCATTAGTAGACGTATATCCATACAATATGTGGTCTTCTGTTTCTGGCTTCATTCCCTTTGCATCGTGTTTTTAGGGCTCATACATGCTCTAGCGTGGGTCATTCCTTTTTATGGCTGATTAATACCCCACTGTATGGATATACCACATTTTGTGTATCGTTTATCAGGTCATGGACATTCTGGGTTGTTTTTGGCTGTTGTGAATGATGCCACTGTGAATATTTGTTTACATGTTTCTCTTTTTTCAACTCTCGTGTGACATCCCTAGTGGTGGAATTGCTAGATGCAAGCTTGAATACAAGTGGCTGGAGGCAGGCATCCTTCGCTTTGTTTCTGATCTGAGGGGAAAGGTGGCCCTCATCAAGCTGAAGTTCCTTCTAGTCCTAGTTTGTTGAGTTTTTAACATGAAAAGTTGTTGGATGTTGTCGAATGCTTTTTCCTGGGCCTATTGAAATAATATGGTTGGGCCCTTTATTCTATTAATATGACGTGTTCCATTGATTTTTGTATGTTAAGTCCTGCACTCCTAGGATAAACCCCACTTACTCACGCATAATCCTTTTCAGTTGTTGCCAGATTCAGTTTCTTAATATTTGTTGGGAATTTTCTGTTATTCGCAAAGGATATTGACATTTTCTGGTGATGTCTTTATCTAGTTTTGGTATCAGGGAAATACTGGCCTCATCGAGGGCTTCCCAGGTGGTGCAGGTGGTAAAGAACCCACCTGTCAATGCAGCAGACTTAAGAGCTGTGGGTGCGATGCCTGGGTCTGGAAGATCCCCTTGAGGAGGGCATGGCAACTCACTCCAGTATTCTTGCCTAGAGAATCTCATGGACAGAGGAGACTGGCAGGCTACAGTCCATGGGGTCTCAAAGAGTCGGACACGACTGAAGCGACTTAGCACACACGCCTGGCCTCATAGAATGAATTGGGAAGTGTTCTACTTTTTCTCTTCTGTTTTTTAAAAGAGCTCGTAAAGATTTGGCATTAATTCTTCTAACGTTTGGTAGAATTCACCCATAAGGTCATCTGGGCCTCAGTTTTTCTCTGGGAGAAGTTTCTGTTTACTCATTCAGTCTCTTTATTTGTTATTGTTGTTTAGTCACTCAGTCATGTCCAACTCTTTGTGACCCCATGGACTGTAGCCTGCCAGTCTTCTTGGTCCATGGGATTTTTCCCAGGCAAGAATACTGGAGTGGGTTGCCATGTCCTCCTCCAGGGGACCTTTCTGACCCAGGAATCGAACCTGCATCTCCTGCATTGCAGGCAAATTCTTTTACTGCTGAGCCACCAGGGAAGCCCTTATTTGTTATAGGTCTGTTAAGACTTTCTATTTCTTGTTCAATCAGTCTACCAGTTGGTATCTTTCTAGGAATTTGTCCTTTCATTTAGATTATCACTTATCAATTTAGATTATTGAATAGTTGACATTTAACTATATATTACATCTGTATATGTTATAAACCCAACAATATGATGCTATAGTTATTGATTTACATAATTTTTTAAAGAAATTAAGAGTAGAAAATTAAAGAAGTCTACTTATACAGTGTTTTATATTTTATATCATGTTTTATACTTGCCCTTAAATTATTTCCAGCACTCTTAATTTTTTCATGTTACTGTGTGGTGTCATTTCCTTTCAGCCTAAAGGACCTCCTTTAGAATTTCTTGTAAAGCAGGTTTGCTGGCAACAAAATATTTCAATCTTTGTTTAACTGGAGGTTTTTTAATGCTTTTATTTTTGAAGAATAATTTTGCTTCTCAAATCTGCTATTAAGCCCATTTAGTGAATTTTTCATTTTGGCTATTGCTCTTTCAACTGTAGAATTTCCACTTGGTTCCTGGTTACAGTGTCAATTTCTTTATTGTTATTGTCTTATTTGTTAAGTCACTATCAACATATTTTCCTTTAATTCTCTAAACATGGTTTCCTTTAATTCTTTGGACACAGCTATAAAACATTTTTTCTATGAAATTCAGTCTCCAGGTCTGTTCCAAGTCAGTCTGTGGACTGTGTTCTCCTGAGTTTGGGGAAGGGGAACACTTTCCTGTTACTTTACCTGACGCATACTTTGTTTGTTGAAATTGGACATTTCATATACTATATCGTTGCAACTCTGAATTCTAGTTATTATCCTGAGCCACATATGTCATTTCTATTTTTTTAATTGTCTATTTCATATATATTTTTAAATTTATTGCTGCATATTCATTAGAATATCCAAAATTTCTTTTTAATGTTAAAATTTACAAGTACAAGAATAAAAATTCTTTGAGTCTAAAATAGTATTTCATTATTTTTAAAAAGATGCCTTTTTCAAAGAGATTATAAGGCAATTTTGGATATATCTATTAACAGCAAAAATTTCAACACCCACAAAATATGAATAGGAAACCTCTGTTTCTTACTTCTAATGTGGAAAGTTATCTAAGATAACCTTTTAAGCTTAAAGAACCGAGGTGCAGAATGGTATGTATAGACTGCCACCATTTGTATATGTGCTAACAGTTGTTTGTATGAGCCTAAATTATCTCTGGAAGACAGTTTGGCTATTGAGAAGAGAAGCAAGTAGCTAGGGAATAGAATAGGAAGAAAAGTTTGTACTTTTTAAAAATATTATTTTGAATTATAATATTTCAAAAGAAATTTTGAATAGTGACTTCTAGCTGTTGGGGCTTCCCTGGTAGCTCAGACAGTAAAGAATCTGCCTGCAATTCAGGAGACCCATGTTTGATCCGTGGGTTGGGAAGATCCCCTGGAGAAGGAAATGGCCATCTACTTCACTCCAGTATTCTAGCTGTTAAACTAATGAATATCTAATAGGTGCGTATAACAGGCAGGCATTTATTGACTCACTGGGTCCTTACAGTGCTCCTAAGCACACATAAGCCCTGTGTGAAGCTCCATTTCATGGATGGATAAACTGGGGCACAGAGGCCGCTGCAGAGCCGCGTGTCCAGGCTGTCAAAGCCAGGGAGCAGTTTCCAGGCCCAGGCTCTCAAGGTCCCGTGTGACACATGCCCTTTGTACAGCTTTCCCTTCCTCACAGGCCACATAAATGCAGAAAAATCACCCATTAGCGCACACAGCCTGTCCCACAAGATTGCACATCCTGCACCTGGGAGGGCTTCTCATTTTTAATAGTATGCACCTAATGAAAGTGAAAGTGTTAATCGCTCAGTCGTGTCCGACTCGTTGCGACCCACTGGACTGTAGCCCACCAGGCTCCTCTGTCCGTGGAATTCTCCAGACAAGAATCCTGGAGTGGGTAGCCATTCTCCAGGGAATCTTCCCAACCTAGGGATCGAAACTGTGTCTTTTGCATCTCCCGCACTGCTGGCAGATTCTTTACTGTCTGAGCTAGCAGCAAGGCCCATTCACATAATGAACACTCAGTAAATATTTCTGAACAAAAGAGTGGATCCTGCTTAGAGCATTTTTTATGGCCTGGGTATAAAATGGGCTTCCCTGGTGGCTCAGACAGTAAAGAATCTGCCTGCAAGGCAGGAGAACAGTAGTATTTTCTCAGGTCACTCTGAAAAAGCCATTAAACACATTTCCAAACGTCAGAGACCCTAGGGGCAACTTAAGAGTCAAGTGTAAGGCAAAATGTCTGAAGCCTCTAGCGCCCATCTCTGAACCCCCAGCCTTCTCTGAGAAACAGAGCCTATGTACTCACAGCTTGGCCGTTCGTGTATGTGGGTGGTGCGTGCAGTATTACAAACCGCCCTGCCCTCCCTCTTGTCCTGGCTGAGGCTCAGAGGCGTCTCGCCTGCCTCTACCCATCTCCTTCCCCGTCTCCTTCCCCTGCTCCCTGCCCCGGTGAAGTCCAGAGTCACAGAGATTATCTAGATGAGCACTGCAAGCCATCCCTCACTGACTCTAAGACGCACATTTTCCCATTGAAAGCTCTCTGAAATCAGATACCTGCTGCAGCCAGTGATAAGAAAGCCTCGTGTCATCGCTTAGTCATTGTTTTCTTTCCTAGTGATCCGTGCAGCTTCTCCTGGTGGTTGGGAGCTTAGCTCTGCTGAAACTGGGGGAAGGGTGTGTGCCGAAGGCCAGGCAGAAGTCTCTAAGAGCTGCTGCTGAACTCAATTTCCATTCTACGCTCAGGGTTTGGCTAGTCCAGAGTCGCGCGATGGATCATAATGTGAGGACAGTACCCGGACAGCCCTTGTTATATGCCGCACCCTGAATGGAGGCCACCTCTCAGCCTGGACCGGTCCGTTTCTCTGTTTAGAGAGAGAGGAAATGGAGGAGCAGAGAGCTCGAGTCACCGGGCAGCCAAATGCGTGGTCAGCCTGCCCTTCCCCTTCTTAATGAGGCACATCTTCCTGGGGCTGAGGGTAGAGAGCTGCACTCCTCCCCCAAGTCCTCCCACCTGGGGGCTCCCTTCCTCGGCCTGACTCAGCCATCACTCCAGCAAACACGCCTGGTTTACCAGCTGTCCTGTGGTTCCTAGCAGCTTAAGAGCTAAACCTGAGGATATGTGTAGCTGACATCTTCAAAAAAGAAGTTAGCTCTTCTTAGGCACTAGATTTAGTGATACAGTTTTTATGGTTAAAAAGAGAATGTCCTGGGACTTCCCTAATGGTCCAGTGGTTAAGACACCGCACTTCCACTGCAGGGGACACAGGTTCGATGCCTGATCGGGGAACTAAGATCCCACATAGCATGTGGCATGGACAAAAAAATAGAAAAAAAAATTTTTTTAATTAAAAGAGAATATGCATTTACTGTGGAGAGCAAACAGTACCTACCAAACAGAC